TTTTAAAAAAGATGTTGTGTCAAATATTAGTTTACTTGGAGTAATTATTTCACATTTGCCAAGATTAAAAAAAGGTCATCATAAATTAATATCAAAATTTTTCATTCAGACTTCAATGATAATATTTCCATCTTATAACGTGATTACAACTCCAAGTTTTTTTTATAATGCTCATTTTAATGAAGTATTTATTTATTCAGACAAAAGTTTTTGGAATTATTATGAAAAAATTAAAGCATCTTTAAATTATGAAAACAACAATATTTCAAAAGTTCCTGGGGTGATGCTGATAATCCCCTTTCCTAGACTATTCAATTACAATCATAATTATTCATTTTGGAGGGAATTGTATAAACCAACAAATAATGTATTTATTGAATTAGACACTTTGGAATTATACAAGCAATGGAATGGTCATGTAATTTTGGATTTCAAATGGAATGCCTTTGGGTTTAGATATTATGTTGGAATTTGGATTATCAACGTAGTATTCTTAGCATGTTTTGCAGTTGCAAGTGGCTTTTCACTGGATGATGGTAATAGAAAGTTACTATTAATAATTGTTGATTTTCTTGGACTATTTCATCTCAGTTTTGAATTGAGACAGTTTATATGGAGTCCAAAAAAATATGTTTATTATTTTTGGAATTATTTTGGTAAGACTTAAAAAAGATGTTTTTTTTCTCATTGATTATAAACTAATTTTATTAATTAATTTATAGATATTGGAGCCTATTCATTTCCAATTATCACTTCACTTTATTGGTTAATTAATGAAAGCACGCCACCTGTTTGGTTGATTTCATTATCTAATTTAACATTGAATCTAAAGTTTATATTATTTCTAAGAGCATTTAAATATTTTGGAGTATATTTTACTATAATTTTGGGAGTTGCTAAAAAAGTCTTTTCATTTTTGATGATATTATTTATAATTCTCTTGGGTTTTGCACATGCCTTTTATATATTGTTGAGACCACAACAAGATTTTAGTATTGATACACCTACCAATAACAATGATCCTAATAATCCTTGGAATCTTGCTTCTAAATATTACACATTATTTGCAAACAATGGTTCATATAATCAAGATTCATATATTGTGCAACAACCTGATGATCATACCAATATGTTTGCATATCCCTCTTCTTCATTGTTGGCCATGTATAATTTTCTTTCAGGTGACTTTTTTAAAAAAATTTTTTTATAATAAATGCATGTTTTTATTAAAATAATAATTAACCAAAAAAAACCAATTTTTTATAGGTAATGAAGTATTTGGATCGTGGACATTACAAAATGATCCATATTTGGCAATATTAGTAGTGGTATTTTCATTTATAGTTGTGGTGTACCTAATGAATTTATTCATTGGTTTACTTAGTAATGAAATAAAACATTATAATATACAAGAAGCATTCTTGGCCGAAAAAGCAAAAATCATAATTGAGATTGAATTATTTTATTTATTGCCCAATCAAAGACGTTGGAGAAGTTGGTTTCCTGAAATATTGTAATATATATATATATATATAAAATCAATTATTTTATTGATAATTTTCATCATGATGGGTTTTTTTAATTAATTGATTTACTTTATTATTATCAGATCATATTATGTGCCAGTTGATGATATCAGAAGAAAAATTAAAGAGATGGATGACAGTAATGAAGATCCTGAATATTTACCATATGTGTCTGATGGACTAAGAAAACTTGTTGATATGCCCCAAAAACAAAATATTGATTCAATTGATTTCAATTCAAAGTTTGAACACATTGAAAATAAATTAAAACAAAATGAAAAAAATCTAAGAGAAATTGAAAAGAATCTCGAGGATAAATTAAATCAGAATAATGAAGAATTGTTAAAACAACTACAAATTATAATGAATAGAATTAAAGATTTAAATAGTAATAATAATAATAATAGTAGTAGTAGTAGTTATTAAATGATATATTTAAATATTCATTTATTAATAGTTATATATATTATTACATTAATCCATTCACTTATTATTTTTTTTGTTAAACATTTTTAATTGTAAAATTCCGAATTTTGTTATTATTATACACTTAAGAAATTGAGACTAATTTCGTGTAACAATTTTTTTTCATAGAATATTTTCTACAACATACATTTTTGATTTATTTATTTATTTCCTTTTTTTTATTAATAAATAAAAGTTCTTCAAAATATTGTAACACGAAAATTATTGTTGCACTTCTGAGCACAGCTTTCAAATTTAAAAAATCTATGGAAAGAAAATTTGAGACTAATTTTTTTTTAGATTAATAGACTCCCCTTTTAAAGCTGAATTGAATGGTGGTGGGTTTTTAAAAATTCAATGTGTGGATCACATAATATTTCAAAAATTTTAACTTTTGAGTATAGATGATCTGCACTGTAGTGATAATGCTTGGCTCTGTGATTATTTATTACAAAGCATTGTGCATTAAAAATCAAATGTGTGTGTCTGATTGTTAAAATAAAAGTTCAGATTATTGAAACAGTTTAAATAGAAGTAATGACTTAATTCACAGGGACCAAAGTTTGTCAGCCTTTATACAACAGTTTAACTGAGTCATGTGTTGAATATTAGCTTGGCAAGAAAATAGGTGATTGGTTAAAAATTTGAAAATAACTACAGACTTGATTTACATCTGTAATCTTATAAAGCTTTCTTCAGCCAAATTGACAAACTTGGTGTTGTCCATCTATCTTCTTTTCATTTTTGTATCCTATTATCATAATTATGCACCAATAACATGTCCTTCATGGTTTAAAAACAAACTTATGTTAATTATATGTTAACCAAAGATGTGGAAAAAGCTATAGATGTGGTAGAAATAGGTTGATCACTTGACTCAATCAGGTGACTTTTTGACACAATTCATATGGGGCATGCTGCAACAAAACCAGAAAAAGTGAACATTGGTATTACCAAAGATTTCAGGGATCAAAATTTAGTAATGTGATTATTAAAATTTCCCTAAGTGACATAGAATTGCCACTATATAAATATAGCTAATATGAAATTAATTTATATCAGATCTACCATGAACCCAAGAATTACAGCACCATTAGAAGTATTTTGAAGAAAGAACAAGGTGAGAAAATTACTCCTTATATTTTCAAAATAAATAATACTCAAACATTTGAAGCTTATCAAAAAAAAGAAAGAATTACTTATGAAATTTACCAAGGAATAATTTGAGTCAGATGCAATTAAAAATTGAGGTTTTAGGAATTGAGTCAAAGCTAAATTAATTTTGACAACATATATAGTTATGGTAATCATCAAATTCATTAAATCAATTAATATATGCAATATAATTCTAAATTAAAATCATAAGCATTATCCTTACATGTTCTAATACAAAGGAGCCAACTGCACCACTGTGAATATTTTCTTGCTTTTTTTTATGCCTCATTACTGTCTCATGCCTAATACTTATTATACCGGCTCCTGCAAATGTTCCAACTGCTGAAGATGATGCACCTGCACTATCTAATTTATATCCAATTCCAGCTTTAATTCCATTGATGAATTTATTATTCAAACCTGCCAGAAAATAACAAAATCTTTTTTATTTTTTTTCATTAGTCATATTATTTTTATCTTTTGGATTTGTTCCAATGTAAAATTGATTAAAAAAACCTTTTAATGCTGATTCAGCTTCTTCTAACATTTTTTATTAAACTCATCAGGTTCTAAAATGGATTTTTCATTATTCACCCTCTGTCTTATATATATGGGGCATGCTGTGACAAAGTGAACATTGGTATAGCCAAGAATTTCAGGGATCAAAATTTAGTCATTTGTAATGTGATCATAATTAATATCCCATTTGTTATCTTAAGTGATATATATAATTACCTCTATATAATAATAGTTAATATGAAGCTAATTTACATCAGATCTACTATGGAACCCAAGAATTACAGCACCATTAGAAGTATTTTAAAAAAGGAACAAGGTGAAAAAATTGCTCCTTATGTTTTCAAATAAATGATACCAAGACACTCATCAGGAAATTAATTTAGTGTAAACTTGCATAAATCTTATGATGCTGACATAATATTGCATAAATCTTACAGTGCCAATGTAAGTTTTACACTTTATTATATTAAACTTACGATTGATATGTGCAATTTTTTTTTATATTTTCCAGATGCTGGAAGCTTATCTAAAAAAAGAAAGGATTACTTATGAAATTTACCAAGAAGAAAGAAAAATAATAAATGTTAGAAAAAGAAAGCAGAATGAAAGTGTACTATTACCCAACAAAAAGTAAAAATCTTTAAAAAGGAAAATAGCTACCATTTGATAGTTGGAATGAATTTCAATTTATACAGAGGGAAATTTCCCCAATTACTTTTTTATTTTCAATCAAGATCATCTTTAGTCTCTTTGACTTCAATTTGAGCAGTTAATTGACCATTCTGTTGATCCTTTAATTTACTGTTTTCTTCTAGATGATTGGTTTTTTCTTCTAAACTTTTTGTCTTATCTAATAACTCCTGTTTTTGCTTTTTACTTCATTCTTCTGACTTTTCCTGAAATTTGGTTATTTCTTCTCTTTCAACATTCAACTCCTCCTTGGCAGTTTTCAATTCCTTTTCAAGTTCTTTGGTTTTCTTTGCTAAATGAGATTCAATAGTTTGGGAAGTTCCTTCCTCTGTGGAAAGTGTTCTGAATTTTCCATCTTTTAACAAACTGCAATAACAACCTTGTCTATTTCTTTGTAGTCTGCCACAAAGTTCATAATAAGAAAGATTATCATTTTCAAAATTCTTCTTACAATCAGCACAAATAGAATCAATATCAGCAGTAGAATCATCTTCATGGTATGCCACCAATTTGTGAGTGGCATTATCAAGGACTGGCTCATCACTAATCACACAGTAATTACAGTATGGGACAGATGATTTTGTCCTTTCAAGAATTTTGTATTCTAACTTCATAATAATCTATTACTGCTTTAAAATGTGACTTTCAAACTCTTGCAAAATGTGTTTCAAAATTTTCTTTAATCACATTAACTTTCTCTTTAAGTTTTTGAACTCTCTCATTAACTTTTGTCTTAGCTTTCTTTGTTAATCTTTTAATCTGTTTGATTTTATCTTTTTTCTCATAAGCATCTAATTTCTTTTTTAATATGTCATTCTCTATTTCTGTTCAGTGATAGTGACATCTCTCTTCATATTCTCTACAAAAACTTTTCTGTCATGTCATTTTTTGGATAGATCCAGTGCTTCCAAGTTAGTTTCAATTTTGATATCTACTCTTTCTTCTAACTCCTCTACCTTATCCTCCAAGTTTTTCTTATCAGTTTCTAACTCTTTAATCTTTTGGTCTTTACCACCAATAATGTCTTTAAGAATTATATCTTTTAACAGGCTTGCCTCAAATATCACCTCCTTCTTCTACTTGAGAAAAAGGACAAGCTCTTTGATTTCATAGTTTTCAATCTTTTTTCAATTCAGCGGCTAACTCAGTGTCTTCAAAGTAATCTATAATAATTCTCTCAACCACCTTTTCTAGATTTCTTTACCTTCCCATTTATAGTCATGCATAAGGCTATGTTGAAAACAAACAGTCATAAATTGATTTCTTAATGGTTTGTTAATCAATTTTCTTATATCTTGTTCAATATTCTTGCTACAGTGAGGAAATTTTTCCCTCATATCTATCAATATTTGGTGAGTTCTTTCTGTTGCTTATTTCTTAAATTCTGCTTCCTCTTGCTCACTTACCTCTGTATTTTTATAATCATTGAGTTCTTTGTCTTTATCAATTAATTTCTTTTCTAAATCAGCAATGTGATTTGATAGTTCTTTGTTCCTTTCTTGGATTTCTGTTAAAATATTTGTCATTACTTTCTTTTTATTACCCTTTTTTTAATTATTTTTTTAATATACTTATACTTTTTATGAGGGTGCATTAAGTATATAAATTATTTTAGTACTTTTTTACTTTAAAAGTGGAAAAAGATTAAACTTATTAAACTTAATGACAGTAAAGACAAATTAATGAGTGACAAAATCATGGAAGTGATTTTACATGTATTCTAAATATTTTATTTGTTGGCAGCAGTGTTGGAAATTTTATGCCGGGGTTTGTGCTACATTAAAGGTAGCCAATAATCTATTAGCAGGATTTGCGCAGAAAATTCGTGTAACAAAATACGTAATTCTTCCATTTTTTGTTAACAATAAGTCATTGATGTTTTCGGGTATAATTCTATTTTTTTTGAAAATAAAAATAAACAAAAATAATAATTTCAATGTTTGTTA